AAAAAATAAAAGCTCCCCACAGGAGAATACACAAACTCCCCACAGGAGAATAACACGAACTCCCCAGAGGAGAATAACACGCTCCTCCAAAAAAGGAGAAATCAAAACACAAAACCCAAACCAACACAAGAATACCACATGAACACAAAATCACAAGCCTAAACAAAACTAAAAAAACAGAACAACTAAAGCCCTCCGCAACCGCTGAAGACAACCTAGCCACGCGCACGATCGGACCCGATAGGAGAAAAAGAAACCCGACAAACCAGATCTAGAAACTGCAATCTACGAACGAGGCCTAACTAAACCTGGGCGAGCCAGACATCCTTCTACCGGAACCACCACAACCTTCACCCCGAATTTCACATAGAGAGCCCCCCCAACACCAAACCGCCGGGAGCAGTCGGAAACCTCCCACCGGCATCCCAACTCCCCCGCCGTCGGACCACCCGCCCCAGCACCAGGAGGCGGGATGGACCAGGGGAACTACACCGCCGCGAAACTCAGCCGCCGTCCGCCCATGGACAGCGAAACGACGACGGCGACCACGAGCCCACCAACCTCGCCGGGACCCTGCTGAAAACGCCGCCAAGGCCACCTGGACTGGAGAAATGCCTCGCCGATCTGCAGGGGCCGTCAGGGAAGGAGATACTCCGATCCCGCAGTGAGGCCATCGTCGCGGCAGGCCGGCGCCTGCGGAAGGGAGGCGACGGCAATGGACGGGTGGAGTTTTAGGGTTTTACGGAAGGGAGGCGCCTGGTTTAAAGGCGATTGGGACGCCAAAATTTTGCATAATTTCCCTCCATTTTCTACTATTCTGTTCACTACTAACGGATAATTGACGGGGAATCGTCTGTCGAGTACTAAGATTAAGAGCATGGATATAATTTTTTTTTGTTTTGATTAGATTTTTTTGTTTGAGTTGGTTAAATTTAAAAAAGTTGGTATGGTTAGTTGTTAGTGGGTATATTAAAATAATATTTAAATAAAATAATTAAAATTAATTTGATGTAAAAGTAGGAGAGAAGATGTGATGTGATGGTTAGTTAAAATTATGTGAGTTGATGAATAGTGAATTAAGGTTGATGTTGTGTGTAAGAATGATTGATTGATATTATTTAATTATATTGATAAAATTAATAATAGTGGGGTTAAGTTAAAGTTGAGTTAAAAAAAATAGTTGAGTTAAAAATGATTAGATTTTTTGAGTTGATTTTATATCCAATAATGCTCTAACGGTTCCATAGTTACTGAAATTACCATAGTGTGAAAGATGAATATTAATTTTAAAATAGACCTTAGTTTAGATATGAAAATTGAAATTTAACCTTGTTTTTTCCTAATATATGAGTTCGTGTTTTTTCATCCCAAAAAACGAAAAACTATGTTATCAAGTTAGAATAATAAAAAATGATACATAGTCAATTTAGTGTACAACTTGGTTGATAAAACAAGTAGAAATATTCACTTGTGTATTTTATTTTTTTTGTAAATATTTTGTACTTGTGTTGTCAACCTAATTGTACACTAGGTTGACAATGTAGCATTTCTCTATAATAATACATTCTTGTCCTTTATTAAGCTGAGGTGGGCATGTGTGACGACTGATGTGATGACGGAGGTGGCCCAAACATAAGTCCACATCATAATTCAAAGTCAAATTGTATTTATTTGCAAAAAATTATGTAGGGGCAATGCCAATACTTTTCTTCATCCACAAAAGTGTTACTCTAATTTCCAACCCCTATTTTACTCCTTGGAGACATTTCAAAAATTTCAATAATCTGATTAAAATATAATTTAAAGCTCATTATTGTAAACAACTTTACTCGAGATCGAGTTTCTGGTACTCAAATTCGGACAAAAGTCTTTACTAACCCGAAGTGTTGACTAAATGGGTCGATAAATAAGTTCGAGTCGTAACAAGTCGAACTGGAGCTAAGGAGTACCGAGACTTGACGACCCGAATTGAGTCGACTCCACAAATCCCTCAATTCATTAACAAGTATATTGTTATCTTGTTTACATTATTTTAATTTGTTTACTCATGATTGCAACCCCATTACTTTTCTCTAACTAAGCTTAGATTATGAGGTGAAATAATTATTTTGTAGTTTTTTTTAACTGAAATTTCTCTTCTTCGTTTAAACTGTTTTGACTCATTTTACTTAATTTTGTCTCAATCTCTCCTCTTTTGTATTAGTTCACGAGTTAAATTGTGCTACTGTTTTTAGATAAAGCAATGGAAAAGGGACAGGAGTACGGCAGTTTACGGGCCATTGAACCATATTATGATGGAGTGGATCGGGCCAGCTCGTCAATGTAGCAGGCTATATAGAATATTATGGCCCAAAGTCAATCTAATTAAATAAATCACAAGCCCATGTTTTAAATCTTGGTAGATGTCTTTTGAAAAAAGAATTGACATTTTACTAGTTATAAATTCTAGTTATAAATTCATAATACAAGTTTGTAAATATATTTTATTATTCATCCATCCATATAATTGTAATCAACTCTTATACCGTTTGACTCGCACTACTTAAAGTGTATTTGATGAGTTATTTTGAATAACTATGCATTAATGTTTATATATTAAATATATCGTGGTTGAATAGATACTTAATATTAACAAATGATTAGTAAGAATATTGTTGAAAGTTGTCTAATTGTATTAAGATTTTTTCTAGAAAAATAGTAATATGTATATGGTGGTTTTTTAGAAAAAAAAACCTCTGACATATATTTAGATACAAAAATATGACAATTATTAGAGTATAAAATAATTGTCGTAAAATTATTTTGTCACTATTTAAATCTATAAGGTACTCTATAAAGACTATTTAATTTATATATGAATTAGAAATAAATACATACTCTTTATGTAATTTATATATGAATTAGAAATAAATACATACTCTTTTAGGGGCATAATTAAAAATATACACAAAAAAGACTAAAATTAAAATATAAATTAGAAAAATCCACCACTCAGAAAAATAATATCCAATTAAGGTAAAAATTATAGTAACCAGTCCGGTTAAAAAAATACAATTAGAATTAGAAAAGAGGAGGGAGAAAAAATGGCATTTTAAATTTAACATATGAATTTTCACATATATACAATCATAAAAAATACGAATATCTTTTGTTCATTTCTCATTCGTTTTATTTGATTTTTAGTGTATATATATGTGTACTGGTAATAACGCTCGTAAATTATACGGGTGTTTCAAAAAAATAATGTATCAACAAAAAGTAAAAAAAAAAACACAATTCTTACCGTGAAATAAAAAACTATAAATGATTATAAGAAAGTAAATTTTTAATATTGTTTTGAATTTTGTAAAATATTTTTATGAAGTATCATTTATTTTATTTAATATATATTTAATTTGGTCAAAATTAAATTGAACAATTAATTTATTTAACAATCTATACTAACTTGCGGCTAACTAAATAAATATTTGCCAAACTAACAAATTTCCTAACTATCTAATAAACTCACGCTAACTAAATAAATATACTAACATCACCTGACCAACCTCACGCCATAATCTAAGACTAACAATGATAAACTCACTAAATAAGTACACTAACTAGGAACAATTAAATAATGATTAATCTGATAATAATCTTCTAGAAACTTCACTTCTCGACTCGCACGGCTCGCATTGTGCTCGTCCGTTGTCGAATCGCTCGCCATCGCTGCTGGCTCGTGCGCTTGTGTCGACGTCTCCACTGTCACGTGCGTGCCTTTTTAGGCCTTCGCTCGGTCTCGTGTGGTCGCCTCGGCTCTCGACTACACTCGCCCTTGAAGGTGAAAACCTCCATTCTTTGATATATTTTAATTTAATTTGAAAAATAATTTTAGATTTTTTTTATAAAGGCTATATATCACTGTTTTGTAATTTTATACATAATATGAATGTTAAATCGAAGATAGTTAAAAGATAAATAATTTGATATCATATATGAAATATAAAACACAAACAAAAAAATTATAAAATTTTAGAAATAAGAAGAATTAACATTTATTAATAAGTGATGTATGAATTAAATAAGAAAACTAAATGTAATATATGATAATGTATGAAAAGAAAACTTGAAATAAATTATCGTAACTAAATGTAAAAGAAAAGAAGGAACAAATCAATTAAGATTTAATGTGAATAATATAGAAATTAAATAAAATCCAAACATACTTATTTTTGTATAAAAAATATTAATTTATATCCAAGTCTGACTCTGAAGCATGATTTTTTGCCACATAGAATTCCGAAGCGTGAGAACGTTCTACTTATGCTCAATTCATTCAAAAATTATATATATAGCGGATTGAAAATTTATATATATAGTAAATTCATTTTTCAATAAAAGGCAGAGCATGGAATGCTTTTTTTTTATTTAAATTTTTGGTATTAAATTTATTTTCGGTAGACAACAGAAGCATTTTAAATACTATACCAATCGTCATTCTAGACAAACTACCTACACGCATTAGGGCTGCTTAATTGAGTGGCTCGGGAACGATCGAGTCAAAGCTCGACTCGAGCTCGAGTTTGTTCGAACTGGGTCGAACTCGAGCCCATATTTTGCATTGTCGAGCGACTCGAGATACATGTTAAATTACTGAAATACCCCTTATATATACATTAGTATAGGTGCTTAATGATAATTTTGTTATTTCACTTAAAAGTGTTCGAGCCGAGCTCGAGTCTCATAAATCGAGCTCGGGCAGCTAAAAAAAAAAATTCTGCTCAATACGACCAAAGTTCCACTCGACTCGTCTCGTTTGCAGCCCTATAGACTATACGTGGTTCAATCAATTTTACGACTTATTTTACCAATTTTTATAGATATTAATAAAAATTATTTTTATTATATAAATGATATAAAAATAATTTAATTAATTATAAAATTAATTAAAAATCTTGAATCGTCCATCTTCAATGTACCAAATCCAACAAAATCCATTTAAAAAATGAAAAAGATCTTTTGTCATGTTATTTTCCGTGTTCAAATTTTTTTATTATCGGTTTTCACAGTCCCATCACTCTCTCACCCCACTTCACCTTACTCTGTAAAAAATGTCGCACAATTTCCTCATCCAAAATCCTATCCCTGTTCCTCTTTTCTTCATCCTTTGAATATTGTTCAATATTCAGTTTCCTAAAAGAAAAAAAATCATAGATTCATCTGAGAAAATCATATTTTCCCAATTTGCAGGCGAAATCGAGTAAAAAGCGAAGATGAAATCTATGAATCTCGTGGATTCATGGGTCCAAACCTGCTCCGCCTTCCGGCGGCCGTCCCAGCTCAAATCCCTAATCAGCTTCGCCGCAATCGATCCCGTATTCTACAGATCCCGGCGCCGCGCCTCCGCCCTCACCGTCTCCGCCGTAATCGCCGAGGATGGCGCGAAAACCGGCGCCACCGTGGGGGAGAAACCGCACTTCAATTTCAAGGCCTACGTGGTGGAGAGGGCCGATTTTGTCAACAGGGCCCTCGACGACGCCGTTTCGGTCAGGGACCCGCCGGCGATCCACGAGGCGATGCGGTACTCACTCCTGGCCGGCGGGAAGCGGGTCCGGCCGATGCTGTGCCTCGCCGCCTGCGAGGTGGTTGGAGGGCAGGTGTCCGCCGCCGTCCCAGCTGCCTGTGCGCTGGAGATGATCCACACCATGTCCTTGATCCATGACGACCTGCCGTGTATGGACAACGACGATCTCCGCCGCGGGAAGCCCACCAATCACAAGGTGTACGGCGAGGACGTGGCCGTGCTCGCAGGTACAACACCATTAACCCTTTAATTCACGCAATTTATTTCTCACCTATACTTTCCAATTTTAGGTTAATTCCTCCTCAACTTCCCCAGTTTACTAATTTGGTAAAATTTTCGAGCTAATAACTTAATTGTGACTTATTGCTCAAACGTTAACTTATATAATAAAAATATTTAGTAAAATTAATTAAAGTTAGTTAAAAATAAAATTTTCAATAAGTTTATTTGAGAAACTATTCAAGGAAGTTTACAAGATAAAATCGAGTTTTTTAAAAAAGTTAGGTCCACGAAAGTTAACCAAATAAATTATAAACTAATTTATTTGGCTAACAATTCATTTGTTAGTCATTTGTGAGTCGGGCTAATAGCCTGTTTAATGTGTCAACCCTTGATAACATGAGAACAAACACAAATTATTGTATGGTGCAGCGTAGCAATTAGAAAAAAAACATGAGAACAAATTAACACAAATTATAGTATGGTGCGTCGTAACAATTAGAAAAGTTGATCCTATCATTTTTTTATTGATAAATTGTGTCTTTATGCTCTAAAATGTCATAATTTTATCTACATTAATTTTAGTCAGTTTGAAATATTTATACTCTAAAATATCATACTTTTATTTATATTAATTTTAAAATAATGACATTTCAATTCGAAATCTTGAAAAAATATGACTAACTGTATATTTGTATATTCATGTTATCTAATGTCATTGCTGCACATCTTTTTAACAAAAACTCACTATTTAGTATTTATCCATTCACATATTTTTAACTACCAATCATTATTTTACTATTTTTCTATATCACATCAACTTTAATCACTACATTTCAACTCACATTAATTTACAACCTCAAAACTAATCCATTATTCCACCCAATTATTTTTTTTCGCGAATGTAACTCACTTTATCCAATCAATCGAAATTCAAAACTAACCCAAAAAAAAAAAATTGCGCAGGTGATTCCCTACTAGCATACGCGTTCGAGTTCATGGCCACGGCCATAACCGACGTCCCCTCTGACCGTGTCCTGGCGGCAGTTGGCGAGCTGGCGAAGGCCATTGGCACGGAGGGCCTTGTGGCTGGCCAGGTGGTCGACCTCAGCTGCACGGGCGCCAACTCATCAGTCGGGCTCGACACTCTCGAGTTCATACACTTGCACAAGACAGCCGCCTTGCTCGAGGCTTCTGTGGTCATCGGGGCTATTTTGGGCGGAGGGAATTCGGAGCAGGTGGAGAAGCTAAGGACATTCGCCCGCAAAATCGGGCTGCTTTTTCAGGTGGTGGACGATATTTTGGACGTGACTAAGTCGTCTGAGGAGCTCGGTAAGACGGCTGGGAAGGACTTGGCGGTGGACAAGACGACTTACCCGAAGCTGATGGGGCTGGACGAGGCTCGGGAATTTGCCGGGAGGCTGAACGAGGAGGCCAAGGAACAGCTGGCGGGTTTCGATGGGGAGAAGCGGGCCCCGCTGGCGGCGCTGGCCGATTACATTGCTCACAGGCAGAATTAGGGTTTAACATGAAATTGGATTTGGTGGAGATAAAATTGTGTGGGCTTTTTGCAGCTTTGCTGAGGTTGTGAAAGGGATGTATAAGATCAGTTTTATTTTCAAATTTCAGGTAAGTCCATCTTTGAGGGGGAAAAGCTGATTTTTTTTTTTATTTTTAAAACTTTATGAGTGAGGCACAAGTGCAAATGAATTGGTATAGTACAACCCAAACTTATCAACAACAGTTAATAAGAGAGGAACACTGGGGAAATTAACAAAGTTCCCCCTCACAGGCCAACTTAGTTAACAAGCAACAAGAAGCACAAAAAGAAGAGTATATACTAGGAATATTATTATTATTATTGTTATTCAGCATTTGTATAAGAATAATGTTGCATATGTAAAGTTGTTAATAGAGGATAGCACCTTTAGTTATTTCAGTCATAGTATAAATATCTCTCTTATAGGCATTTGTACATACACTTTCATTTTCTTCATTCTCAAACCCTAATACACAAAGTTGATGTTTTCCTTTTTCCTTTTCTTCTCTTTCATCTGAGTTCTATCATGGTATCAGACGCTGGTTAAATCGGATAGAACAACCAAACCCCATCATATCCCTTGAAGAAACATGAGCACTGACAATACCAAGATACTGTCTTACTCCCTTAGAAAATGTTCTCTATTGGACATGATCGGTTCCTCAACATCATTCAGGGCTCCAGAGATTGAACAGTAAAATCATTGAATTCCATCATTTCCCTAAAAGCTCCATCTACTACTTGTTGCTCAGTTAGAAGCTCTTTTACAAAAAGCCAGTTATTCCTGGTGCGCCAAGGCCACCACATCAGATAAGAAGACAGACTGATCTTGTCTTTCATGCAATTGATGTCTTTTGCAGTGCAGATATCTTTCCACCAGTCTTGATAAGAAAAAATATATTTTTTTGTTGCAGTCCAAGATATGCCAGCCAGTTTCCAACACTTTACAGCTCTGTGACAGTGGAACAAAACATGATTAATGTCTTCCTCATCCTCTCCGTAGTGCCCACAAATCTAGTCCACTTTAAGCCCTCTCCTCTTCAACTACACATTGGTACCTATAGTAGCATCTCCACAGAAAATTTTTAAGCTTCTGCTTGATTGGTAACTGCCAGCTGTTCTTCCACATTTTCCAGCTCTTAGATTTTCCAGTACTTGAGCTTGCTAGCTGCTTCTTGGCCTGAGAGTTAATCAGAATAGCCTCGTAAGCTGTAAGTGAAAGATTCAGAGTAGGCCGATTCCAGCCGATCCGGGATCCTCTGCGTACCAAGGCCCAAATTGCTTAAAGGGATCTTAAGAATATAATCAGCTTCAACAGAATTAAAGGTTTGTTGAATAAGATCACTCCTTTCTACACTATAAGAGGTTTGGATTTATTGACTAAGTTGAGTTAAAGTTGAAAGTTGGAAAAAAAAAAAAAGTGATTGAGTGGATATTGAATTAGATTTTGAGTTTTTGTTTGGAGGTGTGTTAAAATAAAATAATTAAAGTCTAAGTGACATAAAAGTATGAGATGTGATTGAATTTGATTTGTTAGTTAAAAATATATGAATGAATTAATAGTGAATTTTGTTGGTGTGATGTGTAAGGATGATTGATTGATAATAATTCATTATACTGATAATAATGAGGAAATTAACTGAGTTAGATTTCAATTGAATTTTGAGTAAAAATTGATTTAAACTGGTTTTGGTGGATTTGAAGTGATTTTGATCGGTTAAATTCGGACTGGATTTATGTTCAATGGCATCCTTAGAAATTTGAGAATCCTTAGGGGTGATTGGATGTAAAATATTTTAGTTTTGATTGGATTTATTGGATAAATTTAGTTATTTTTTGATAAAGTTGATTAAGTGTCGAATTGAGTGAGAATTTGAGTTTGTATTTAAATATTATTTAAAATTTAATGATTAAAATTGATGCGATGTAAAAGTAAAATAGAGGTGATTGGAAATGATGATTAGTTAAAAATATGTTAGTAGATGAATAGTGAATTAAAATGATGTGTTGTATAAGGATAATTGATTAATATTATTTAATTATACTGATAATATTAATGAGGATTAACAGTTAAGCTGGAAAAAGTTGAGTTGAATTTTGAGTTAAAAGGTGTAAAAAAATTATCACGCCAGCAGGGGCGGGTCCAACAAATAGAAGGAGGTGAAGTCAAAATTTTGTGGTAATTGAAAAAACGAAAAAAAAAAGGCACGAAATAAGACATACAAAATCACCATTATATATAAATTTTATTATTCAAATAATTCAAAATGAAATATTAAAACACCCTACAATTTGTACATTTCAATATTATTATCCATTCTGATGACTTAAAATGATTTTCTATCAATACCAAATTATTCATCTATCCACTACATACATTGTATATATGTCAATATTTCATGATTAATCAATCACATGTCATACTATATATGTCAATTTTAAAATATTAATACTCCATGTGGGTAGGATATTAAAATATTCATACTCTTTGTGGGTAGAAAAGCGATAATATTTTTCAATATATTGGATCAAAGAATTTGTTATAACTCCATCTCTTAGTTGCTTTCGTTGTTGACACGAATTTTTATTGGCAATAATTTTATTGTCTAACAATTATTATAGTAGAATGCAACGTCACGATAAATTTATTTAAAGATACAACGGATAAATAATACATTGCAATAAAAAAAAATTAATATGAAAGAAGAAAAATAACCTACTTTATAAAAAACTTCATTTATAAATTATTTTTATAAAATTACTCAATTTATACTTATTTTCTGAAAAATCGTGTAATAAAAATATAAAATTCTAGGTGGGGCCTAGGCTCCACCTGGACCTGGAGGGGTGGATCCGCCCCTGCAGGCTAATTAATATCGAATAATTTCTATTGCCAATCGCACTCTTAGTCGCTTTTCCTGAGCTTTTCCAAGTATTCTTTGATTTTTTTTTTTTTTGCACAAATATGCATATTTTCATCATAAGTATAATGAAAATGTACAAGGATAACATTATATAATATAATGCTATTTTTGTTTAACATGTATGTATGTATACTTCTATCAAAAGTATGATAAAAAAGTCAGGAAATACATAAATGAAGTATGATATCTATTTTCGTCTATTTTTACGGAAATGCTAAGGAGTCATCCGATGGTTCCGTTATGGAGCCATCGAATCCATGCGGCATTAAATGAGAAAAAAAATCTCATGTGATGCCACATGAGTCTGATGGCTCCATAACGGAATCATCGGATGACTCTTTAGCATTTTCGTCTATATTAACATGTTTACATCCAATTATTTGTACATAAAGTATAGCAAAATATGACATATGGACCTATCTATTAAACTGATTAACACGAGAATTTGTGTTCAAGTAAGACATATGGACTTATCAAAAAGTTAAGCTGTCTAACGGGAAAATTTGTGTTCCCTACTTTTCAGGGAAGAAAATAGGACTATTGTGTAAATATTAAATACAAATTGTGTGGGAAATGAAAGGAAACAAAAGGTGGGTATTTCATTTGGGTTTCAATTGATAAGCTTTTGAAAATGTGGGCTTTGAACTTGTTTGCATCCATCTTCCTTATCTCCTAATTTCTCCGTACAAAGATGGAAGTTCGGCCCAAATAATCTAATGGCCTAGAATCGATGCAACATATAATAAAAAGTAGATGATTGTTTTATTTATTGAATAATAATTATATGACAAATTCGTAAAAATATACACTCTATCTTAAAAGGATAATTTTCATACTTCAATTTAAGTATCCATAGCCATGCTACTTTAAATTAAATATAGTATTTATGCAACAAGTTGATAGCTAATGAATAAAGTTATTGAATTAAACTAATTATTTGTTTAAATATTTCAACACTAATAATTGTGTTTTATGAAACTTCTGACATAAAGTCAATATGAGACAAGGAGTAAAATGATTTTTCTGGAATGCATAATAGTTAATTTAATGATATTGACTTAATTTGTATATAGAACACATTTGAATGATTAGAATAGTGAATAAATATGTGGCTTGGATTTTACTGGCATAATATGATTGTTTTTAAATAAATATACATATTTCTATAATAGAATTTTATGTCTCAAAGTCTCAACAGAACATAGTTACAGTAATCAAAATTTTATTAAGAAAAAACACAGTCAATCGATTCTAATTAATGATTAATTTGGGTTTTGCGGTTGTGTTATGCCGGACAAGACAACAACACCAACGGCAGGTAAAAAAGAAATAATGGCTTTTTTTCAGTACAGCTGAGTGGGCCCCCACTCCCTACCCCTTCTCTCCTCTTCCGCATTTCCCGCCCCGATGTTCCCCTAAATTTACAGAAACACCCTTTTATGTTGAATATGAATTTATGGAAAAAGAAAATAATTTAATATTTCATTAGGGAAAGGCTGGTTGGAAAAACGTATTGAATAGAAAACATAATTTGAACATCCCCTGATTGGAATGAGAGATGAGAATATAATGAATAAAGTTAGTTAATAGAAAATAATAAATCAATCAGCTAGATATAAATATTTAAATTTTATAATATTTTGTAGTATGAACTGAATTTTATTTTAAAATCATATCAATAAAATTTAAGTAAAAGAAGAAGGGAAATAAAAATGGTATCCGTTTCCGAAAATATTATGTGGTGTGTACACAAATGAAATTTCAGTTGAAGCCGAGAGTCATTTGAAAATTGTGCGCTGATGAATTATTACAAATTCGAATTGCTAAAAATAATAATTATTTTTTTTTCCAAAACACACACACAAAACGAGAATGTTCGGAAGTCGGAACTGAAAAGTGAAAACGAGCAAGGGCGATTTCGTCATTTAGACGACCCCACCCAATACCCATTGGTCAAATGGTCAACCCAGCGAATTCATCCTTGAGCTTCATTTTTTGCATGATGAACATGGGAAACCAGACCTCCCCACCACGTGTCTCTTCCTCATTCGTCGTCCTCACCTCGTCGGGATTCACAGTGTTCGTACTCAATAATTTCCCTTCACAAATGCAAAGCAAAGCAAAGAGAGAAAACACACACACACACACAACAAACACTCTCTCACACACACACACATTGCACCTACCTCTGTGTTTTCTATCTCTAAAACAGTAAACAAGAGAGAGAGAGCTGAATTTTTTTGCCCCAAAATCCTAGCATTCTTCAGCTAGCAGCTTCAATTTCAGATTACCATCAATGCGTGATCTCTCAATCGGGCCCAATTGCGAATCCTAGTGTGTGTTTGAGGAAACTAAACTGAAAAAAAAAAAAAATGCTTCAAGTAGCTGCAGTGGGGAGCAATGGTGGATTTTCCGCGCATTCATCGCAGCTGCAGAGCTGTGGGGACAGCAGCGAGGAGGAGCTCGCCGTGCTCCCGCCGCACACCAAGGTCGTAGTGACCGGAAACAACCGTACCAAGTCCGTGCTGGTGGGGCTTCGTGGCGTCGTGAAAAAGGCTGTTGGCCTTGGTGGATGGCACTGGCTGGTAAAAAATTATCTGCATAGAGTTTGAGCTTCGTCTTTTTTTTTTTTTATCTTTTGTGTAAATTGAAGCTTCTTTGACGTCAGATTCGTTTTATTTATTGTAGTTGGAAAGATTCACTGACATTGATCTATTTTTTTTTTGTTTATTAAGTTTTTCATGATTAGCTTATCAATCAATATTTTAAACAAATATGTATTGGTTTTTGATGTTTATTATTGCTGTTTGTGTTTCAATAATTCTTGACATTCTCTGCAATTATTTAATCCTGACTAAAATGTAGAAATTCCTTTGTTTCATTAACAATTAATTTCTGCAGATATCACTTGTATAGTTTAATCAAATAAGGAGTTGCCTTTTTGTGTTTCATTGGGCATTTCTTCATGTGATTACCCCTCTATTTGTCTATTTATATCAAATTTTTACTAGGAAGTTAAATTTACCTATTATAGTTAATGGGATATTTGGTTTGTTTTGATTAATTTACCACTTTGTCTCTGCAGAATGCATTTATTTAGGTTGCAATTTGGTTAAGTTTATTGAACACAAACATTTGAAGTTTAGGTGAACTCATCATCTTAATTGGATATTGAATCCTGATTTGAGGTTACTAAAACACAGGTTCTCACAAATGGCATTGAGGTAAAGCTGCAGAGAAATGCTTTAAGTGTAATCGAAGCTCCTACAGGGAATGAAGATGACGACCCTGAATTTGAACAGACACTGTGGAACAGCTCAGGTATGGTTGAGATTGGTTATATAGTTTGTGTTTCATTGTTGAAATTTAGATTCACTTTTGGACATTTGGTATGGTTGAATGAGATGTTATGCCAAACTATGCGAATTTGTTATCTTATTTTCCAGTTTCCAATGCTGATTATAATCCAAAAATTTGTCGCGTATTTTGGCTTGATTATCCAATAGCGTTAATCTTTTTGTAAGAAAATTTATATTTCTACAATTACACTATAATGAGATGATTGTTTAGATATGTTGCATAGGATTCTCGGTATTCATATTCCAACCCCTTATCTTTTATCTTTTTCCACTGTTTTTTACAAGCTTTACTAGTCTCTGCTCTCCTTTTTGCTTTTGGGCCCACCATGTATAATCTGATTATCTTTTCTGTGGCTCATCTTCTTAGCATCCGAGGATACTCAAAAGTCGTATAGATCAAGGCAACGTATGCAAAGGTCATTTGGTTCGTCCCACAAAACCCTTAGTCGGTCTCTCTCGTCTGATTCACACTCCAAAGACTCTGTTTCGACTCGTAAGGGATCACTGGTGAGAAAGATTCCATTTTCCTTCTTTTCATCTACTTTTTTTTTTTTTTTTTTTTTTTT